CTCCTGCAGGAAGAGAGGCCTCGACAAAGCTAGTTCACCCATGGTGCGAGCTTACAAAGCGATAATTCAGGCCTGGCCATATTTAGGCAGTGCCACATGCTTTGTAAACAGAGCTCACTACTGAGGGGAGGGCTCTCTCTTGCACTCGTGTCTGTGTCTGTTAACAGTGCCTGCAGAGAGCTCTGAGCTGAGAAAAGTAATGAAGCTTCTCAAGGTATAAAGTAAACCTAAAGAATTTTGAGGCTGTTTCTGAGTATGAAGTTCATCATTAAAAGACCTGAGAGATATGGGTTCCCTGGAAGAATGCTGTTGCTCTGACATGGACGACCAGGACTACCTGCCAGGACTGGGAGGGCTGCACAAGAGCGTAAGACGAAGGTTTTGTTAAACCCTTGCATGGCAGCATGAGTGAAGGCATCTGGGAAAGTTCTGTGGAGGCTGGGTCCTTCCCCCTCAACAGCACTCAGTGCTCATCTTCTGTCTCGCCCTGTGGATCCCCCAGAATGTCTCCCTGCGCCTCTCCTAGAAACTCCCCTCGAAATTCTCCTCTGATATTCCGCAAGCTCCTGATGAACCGGAGCATCGCCAGGCGCTTCACCTTGGCACACACACCCAGGTAGTGTAATCAATTACAAGCTTTTGGCATAGGTGGCCAAGATTTACAGGAATTTGACTAGAAAGGTGCATGGATAAGATCATTGTGAAGGTTGGACTCAGAGGTCATCCTCAGTCTTTTTGACCCTGTGACCCCACCGTGAACTTGAATAAACTCAAACACATGCATTTGTTTCAGGAGCCAATAGGTAAAAGGCAATGTACTCAATGCTTTTTCACATTATCAGAATATGTCATGGGTTTGCTGTTGCAAGAAAGCCCCATTGTCTGATGAGAAGGTACAGTAACTGTGGGAAACAATGATTGACGTCAGGACCGGTAACATCTCAATGGGCTTCATTGTTCTTGCAGTTATAGAGAGGGTCTGGTTTTATGCCTAAGGTGTTCAGTGCTACATTCAGCTGGCCAGGCACAGGTCAGACAGCAGGACAAAAGGATCCTGTAGGAGCAGAAGGAGCACTAAACGGAAAGAAAAGTCAGAAGCAAGCCGTTGAATTCAGAGGGGTTAGGGATTCCTGATCACAGTAAACACAGGGTTTACATTTCATGCTGAAAACAGGTGTGTGTTTTACATCAGATACAGCAGAATTCACTGGCAGAACTTCACCCAACATTGGTATATTTTAAACAGTGATCCGTCCTTAAAAGAAATCTTTAAAGGCTCTCCTACGGCCACTTTCAAAAGGGCAAAAAACATAAGGGACAGACTTGTCAGAGCATATCACTATCCTACAGTATCTAATAATGAATTAAGTGTCAAACATTTTCAAGGCAATTTTAAGTGCAGAGCCTGCAAAAGCTGCCAATATATAAAAAACTTCTTTTAATCACCCTGTCAATTAACATCAAGGATTTTATCACCTGTAAAACAAAAAATGTTAATTACATGGTATAATGGCCATGTGCAAAGGTATAGAGAGGAGACATCTCACGTGTAGTGCCATCAAGAGAAATGTTACTAACCCAGGTTGCATTACATTTTAATGAGTTAAAACACCCCGTGTCATCATTTGCTTCACAGGCATAGAGGCAGAGGCATTATGGGATTCTGGATTTTTGACTTTAAATGTTTATTCCCAGGAGGTTTGAATGATGAAAGGTTATTCAATTAATGAGTTATATATTGACCGTATATAGTACAGTCTAGTTTTTTGTGCTCATGGGCTCCAGTTGTGCACTCTGCTGTTTCTCTTGACTCTATTTTATTTTGTTTGTGTTGTCTCACATGTGATGTCACTTGTGTCAATTATTAGATACATCTGTTGCCCCTTTGTCAGTTTGACCCTTGGCCGTGATTGGCCTATAACCACATGACCATATACTTAACTTACTTGTGTGCATGTTTTTTATTGGACGACATGTATGAGTTTGTATGCATTTGGCTGTACTTGTACTATTTATGGAACTCCTTGTTGTGTAACTTCAATAGACCCTGAGGGAAGGCTTTATTCTGAAATGCGCTGGTCTTTTATCTTGGCATTAAAGTTGCTCAGAACACTGCAAGTGTTGCCAGATGTTTTGCTTTCCAGCTTGTGTTTCACATCAGAACAGACTGAGCTGCTTAAATTAGTTGAGACAGTGCTTGACTTGCAATTTCATTTCTCAAATAACATAAATGTTATTCTTAACTTCACTAGTATGAGTATTACTCACTCCTGAAGTGAATGTTATTGTAAGTATAGATATCAGAGTGACTTTATTCTGGTCGGCACTGACGTAAGAAGTAGATTTTAAACGGAGCCACACCTCTGCACAACCCTGTGTGTACGCTTCTGTCTGTTCGCAGTGTGCACCTTGAGTGAGTGCAGCCCTGCCCTCAAACAGGCACACAGACCTGAAACTTGATGCATCTAGTCCTGTAATCCCTAATTTCCATTTATAGATATAACAAACAAAATCTTTTGTTTGATTTCAAATTTAAAATCCAAGTACATGGACCCGCTGGACGTCGTGATAAGCATCACGCCTCTAGTAGCCTATAGGGATTCCAGCAGCTGTGTAAAATGAACCCAGGAGCGACAGCTTGACGGCTTTTTTAAGCTCAGTGTAAAAGGGCTTAAATCAAAAAAGCTGCCTTGAAGAAGGGTCACGGCACTGGCACTTTGCCGTGATCTCTGTGTTGTGTAAAAGGGCTTAATGTTACATTGTGATCTGCATAGCTGCTGCTCTTACAGACAGCTGTTTCATCTTATGAGGATTTTAATACTGAGACACAGGAGTGTTTGTCACAGCTGTCCCAACAGTGTTGTCTTAAGTCATGTTATATGATTAACAGGCTGTCACCATGAGGCTGAGGAGATCTCTTTCATGTGGCTGCAAGCTGTTGCAACAGTCGTGTTGGTTATCATCCTGTGGTTATTGTTTTAAACCTTGTTATTGTCAGCTTTTCATACACACACGCACAAGGTTACAAACCAAATTTCAGCAGGTGTGTCAGAGTAAAATTAAGTAGTTATTCTATCCCATGTAATGTGTCTGACAAGTGAAGTGCAATAAAGAAGGGTGACAACCAGAGGAAAGGCTGTAGTGATCCACCGATCAGAGCAAAGCTTGAACCGTGACATCAGAGGGAAACCGACAATTATTCACAAACTATTACAAATCTAAAATATAATAACATGTTAGTCATTACAATTGCGAAAAGAACAAGCAGCTAAACCATAACTTGTGGTGGAGAGAAACATTGAAATTCCCAAAAATATAACAGTCAACACATTTTTCACAACTGTGTAGGAATTCATGTTATGTAGAATGAATGAATATCACACAGACTTCTGCACTTTGTCCTGCTAATTTATTTAATACAACATTAAAACATCCTTCACCAAGTAAACATAACAGCCGGTTGCTTTTCCCTCCCCTGCCATCTCCCAGACTTTGTAACTGTCTGCCTCTAACTGTTTAGAGGAAGCAGCTATATGTGTGTATTTATGTCGCCCACTGCTGCAAAAAAATCCAACAGCTGGAAAAATGTGAAATTTCAGAGAACATGGATCATCAGTATTAAATACCGTAAAATCTTGAACAATATGGGATGAAATCTACCAACGCCTATAGCTGAGTCAAATGCACACAGTGTTTCAGCAGAAACAGAATAAAGGAAAACAATAGAAATCCACAAGTATCACTGAGATAAAAAGTAAAATCTGGTGGAGGATAAAAAAAAGTTCTTAAATAAGATGTTCACTTTGCTGTGGGGTGTTGTTAATGCATCAGCCACATGATAAACAACAATCTCATTCTAAAAAGCATCCTCTTTTTATATTGAGGTGCTCACACAGTTTTAGGAAAGTGGTTGTGGTGACATCGATGGTTACCATGTGACGTGCGTCTGAAGCTTAAATGTTTGAAACTTTAAGTGTTAGCAGCTAGAAATAGCGCAGCCCCTTGCTGATATAAAAAGATGGCAGCACTGAAGAAGAAAGTGGCAGCAATCAAAAACACACACATTGTAGGGACCCTGTTTTGATGAGTCACTTATATGGTTGATCTAATTTAGAACTGGGTGTTGGTTTACACAGTAAAGCCAAATTTATATTATGACTCATATCTCTGCTGGGGAGCTGTTGCCAGTTGTACTGCCCATACACAGTTTAGTTACTCAGGAGAGACATTGCAGGTGTTCAGGTTTCTTCCTTAGGTTTGAAATGCTTGGGAAAGCAATAAAATGTCAATGGGGAAATAATTTTTTTACACCATGTTAGCAACACATTTTATGCCCCCATGCCGGCAATAGCCACGGCCAGAGGCATTATGTTTTCCAGTTGTCCATCTGGCCCATTTTGGTGAACACAACTTATCAGGAATAAGGGAATTTCTTCCAGTTTGGCACAAATGTCCACTTGGACTCAAGGATGAACTAATTAGATTTTGGTGGTCAAAGGTCAAGGTCACTGACCTCATGTCTGTTCAATTTGACAAGCTGGTGCAGGTGGAGAACTGCAAAGTTTTAACCCTACTTAACATTTAACACACACACACACTCACCCCTGGCCATATAAGCCAGCACCAAATCTAATTCGTTCTCTTGTTGTGCCCCTGTAATTATGTAGCTGCAGGCCAGCAGAAGGAGGGTGTCAGGTCAGACAGCCCGTTTATCTCATGTGTCAGCGAAGGCTAGGCCAAGCCAAGTCTGCTAGACAAAAACGCCCACCAGCCACACCGTGGAGTCATATCTCCTGTTGGCAAGTTGGGACACACCACCATGTTCCTCTATAACTGTCAGTCTGACAAAGCTCAGAAAAGATTAATGCTCACTGGGATTAGAGGAACTATGTATTGTTTGATACCAAATCTTTTAAGCAGAGCTCTTACAAATTCATCATGACACTGGATATGTACAAAACAGAGTACTTGATGGTTCCTGACTTAGTGGGCCATCCTCAGCACCCACAGCGACCTCAAGGGACTCAAGCAAGCTCTCACAGTGCTGGAGGAAGAGGTCAACCCTTGCTGACGCTACCCTGCAGTATCATTGCTCTCAGCAACAACTCAACTCTTCCTATTTCCTGCAAACAGAGTGAGTGAGTGAGTGACACAGAAGTAGAATAGTCTAAATGTTTCTTCTCTCTAGACTTCTCTCCTCTTCTGTTTTTTCCTGGACAGTTCGGAGCTGCTAAAACTGCTGCTAAAGACGCTGTTAGGAATGCAGTCGGTATCACATCTGGGGTTAGTTTGGGTATTTACAACAACAACAAGCCAGTGAGAGAGGAGACACAACTGGAATATCCTTCAGTGCAGTGAGTCTTGACTTACAGCAGCTCCCCTTATGCTTCTTTTTTCTGGAGAGATTAATTGAATATCACACTCCAGTCAGCCTTGTTGAGGCTTGCCTGGAAGCTCAGTGGATGAACTCTGCAACATTCCTCACCGGTTTTCTGCGGATCCTGATGCATTGATGATTAATGAGATCCGATCTGCACGTGAATTTATCAGTTCTGTTTTCATCTCTCACCTGGAATCTTCATGTTTTTTGGATCATTGAAGTGCAATGCCTCATGGAGGCTTGGTCCAGATGTTCAGGTTATTTTCTTTAAATCCCGGAGTGTCTAATATATGTCAGTAGCTCGAGGGACAATGAGCAAAGACTTCCGATTGTCAAGGAAAGGGGAGCAAACTGGCTTCGGACATGGTCGGAGACACTCGTGCTTGGGGTATGTTCCTAAACTGTTCGTCCTGCATCTTTTCTGTGCTCATATTCATGAAAGCGAGTGTTCATACCAGTTGTGGAGCACAGTTACACACATGGCTCACAGACCTGCAGTGATCATTTCATACTGTAGTTTATATGGGTATTTGTAAATAGAACACACTACAGTTTCAGTGACTTACATACTGGATATTTTACAGTGTTGATAATATACAGTATTTACACTGATATTATAATTTGATTTTGTAGGTTTCTCTTCCCTTTTTGTCTAAAACGAGTAGTAAGAAAGACAACTTTCTATGAATAAATATGGTTAAATAGGAAACTTATACCGTACTTATAAATGACGTTTTACACACTCAGTGGTAGAAAATGGCCACACTACAGCGGAGCGATGCAGCAGGCTGAGCTGGCAGTAAAGGTTATGAGACTCTTGTTTTCATTCACCCAAAGACCTTTGCTCTCTTGGTCAGAGTGTCACTGTTGTTATTGTGTGCACAGCATTCTGGGAAACTGAAGAAATCACCGATGCTGTGTTCATGTCGTGGGACGGACGGTAGAAGGGGAAAAATTGATGTCATCAGACGTCCAAACACAGATGCAGCGTTAGTTTTGTGAGGTTTCAAAATGCTGTACGATTGCAGTGTAGCTTCAGATCCATTAAATTTGCCTTTAATGACAAACTGTGGCTGGCGCGAAGCCTCCATAGCTGATTGGTTTTCAGCCACTTTAGTTTTATGAAGTCAGATGTATTGGAGCTTTCATAAGAATCTTCGTTCTCTTGTTGTAATTAGATCCTTGATGTGGATGTGAATGCTGTTTACCCATCAGAGACTGGTAATTATTGTAACTTTGTTTTGATGCATTGCAGTAGCATGTGTTCATCGTAGCAGAAGTAAACATGGCAGATTAAGGGAAATTGGGTTTGAGTGTGTTAATAAACTGGAGCAATGAAAGATCTGATGGAGAAATGTTCCACATGGGAACTTTCATAATATTTTATAGGCAATACCAGTGCAGCATGTGTTCATATGGTGAAACGCATGTTGCTCCGCATGAATGATGAGGTTTGTGTGTGATGAGGTGGCAGTTTTCTGTGAGCTGGCATGTTATACAGCAACTTCCGGGAGGAAGCAAGTTTTGTTTGTGGAAAGTTTAATTCAACAGACTTCCTGTTTTTGTCGAAAGTCTCCCACTGACTTTTTCAACACGATGACCCTGAGACAAATGTTGCTGACTGAACACAGAGCTCTGAACTGGGAGAGATAGAGGTGTTTGTGTTCAAGCAGGTGTTCATTGAGGGATGTACTCATGTTACACTGATGCCAATCACATGCTGGCTGCCCTCTGTGTGTGTGTGTGTATAAGCACATGCACAGTTTCTTTACATGTTCCCTTTGTAAGCACATTTAAAGGTCTTTTGAGGCATTCCACTGCCTTGTGGTTTGAGTGTGTTCTCGCTTGTGTGTTCATGCCTGTTCCTGTCTTCGGTCCTGGGAAGCATTACAGCGGGCTGGGATCTGTGAGCACCACCCAGCTTTCCACTCACTGTGCTGCTGGGTCAGCCTCTCATAACACATCCCAGCACAACCACAATCGCATGCCACACCTTCACTGTCATCACCCACAGCTAGAGCCATGTAATACAGTTACAAGAAGCAGGAGGCTGAGAAAAATAATCACACTCCTAATGAAACAGAAGACTTTATCATAATGCTGCTAGGACAGTAGCACTTGTACAGTAGAGTACACTGCCTGACAAGGACACAACACAACATGGAGCCTTTCTGATGTAAAGTTCATGTCCAAACCAATGACACCACTATCATGATGGTGGATTTATCCTGGAGTGTTTTGGTTATTTTCACTGTTTGTATGTTGTGATTGTGCTTGTTCATCACTTATTTGATGATTACGGTACGCCCTTGAGCCATATGTAGTAGCTCACTCAGTACAGTATTTCTTATGGTAGCATCCGCTGCCCTGTTCACAAAAATCTGTCATCATTTCTGGTTCCTGTTATTTGTTTTAGTCACTCCAGAATGAGAAGCAGACTTATTTTATATAAAGGCTAACATGTTTAATGTCAGAGGTTATCACAGGTTTGATTGTGCTGCATGTGGGATTAGTTTGTGGGTTTCCCTTCAACCTGAGACGTGCCAGCTCAAAGGATGAAAACCTGACACAGTTAAAATGTCAAACACTCATTGATGTAGGTTTCTGCATTACTACAAGAGTTACCACAATAAAATAAATGTCACTGATCTTGAAAGCAAAAAGAAGAACTTCACAGTTACCAGTAGACTGTATTGTGTTACGTGCTGTCTCCTCTGAAATCTGACACTACGTGACAGTCAACTGCAGGCATGCCATTACTGCCAAAATCTGTTTCTTGATGTGAGCAGATTTGGGTTGCCAGGTTGTACAGGAAAGATGTGTGGTGTGTGAAATTTTAACTATTTTATCTGCCAGCTTAGTATATCTGTGAAACTAATTTGGGGGGAGGGGGGGTGCAGATGTTACTAGCTCATGATTTGGCAAGTTGTCAGAGTGACTTCCCCAGAAAAATGACTCATGCTTTTGTTAACACATGGCAATCATGTAAAATACTGAAGATCATTCACAATAAAAGCAGTTTGAAGCAGGCTAAAGGCCGTCAGGGCGCCCTGACTGAAGCAGACCTCTCAGGCCCATATTGTTCCCCAGCTTATCATCCAGTGCACATCCAGGAAGAGACTTGTTTCTGAGCCAGTACAGCCACAGCTGAGGCCAAGCAGCGCAAGGGAGATAAGAAGGGGCAACAATAACACAACAGACTACTAAAATAAAACCCCCGGGCCTGGAATAGTTGCCCAGCCCTGCTAGCCTGGCTGCACACACCACATGAATGTGACATGTTTCTTATTTATCATGTATACACACACACACACACTCACTCCGCACCCAGTTGTCTGTTGGTTTTATTTTCTTGCAACTGAAACATTTCAGTTTTTACAACACCCCCTTCTGATCGTTCCTCATTCTTTTCAATGTTTTAAGTTTTAAAAGAGAAAATAATAGGACCTGACCCTTTAAAATTGTTGCAGACACATGTAAGCGCTTTGCCTTGTGTTTCTTCTGTGAAGATGTCTGGGCACAGAGCGACCTCTGCTGGCAGGCAGCTCCACCTCAGCAGGCTGAATCAGCAGCACTGTTTGATATGTGTCAGCGTTTTCTGACTCACATTCTCAGTACATGTGAATCTAGGTGTTGTTGGAAATGCTGAAGCCTACATGATCAACTTGTTCTGGACAGATAAAGATTAAAGCCAAAAAAGATGAAAATGAACAGACACTGCCCTCCACGTTCAGCTGCAACTGCAGATTGTGTGTTTTGTGGGAGGCGCAGGAGAAAAAACACAGCTTCAGTCCTGCAGGACGAAATAAAGATGAAGCAGAAAGACTGATTCAGTGTGATTGTTTCAGTTCTGGATTTTAATTGATGACCTCAGAAATGCTATGTAGCTGTTGCTGTGCACGCTGCATCATGAATACATTTTCACTGTGACCAAACAGCAGTTCCTCCCTCTGTTTAGTTCGTTGTTTAGAGGAGTTCGCATCTTTATTATAGAAACTGCAGTTTTCTGTGAAGATTTATTAATGTTATTTTGCAGATCTGTAGGTTCTAAGGTGGTTTTACAATAGCTAGGGAAAAAGAAGTTATAAAGTAACACATGACAGAAGTCTTAGAAAAAAACTATACATTTGTCCAACTATACAGTGAGCTTCCTGTTTTGATAAAGGTGATTTACAGTTCATTCTGAAGCCCTATTGCCTCATTGGACTGTTTATGTTCAGTGTGAGTCTATGAATCTGTGTAATGTTGGACTTTAAAGAGCAGAAAATACTTAAATAAGGCTGAAAGGTACTGAATACAGTACACACATTAAATGAATGACTAAAAGATGTAGATTTTCCTGTTTCTATGTAGCTGTGCTCTTCTGTCATCAGCAGAGGGACATCACTATAAACTTGGTGCAGACACACACACACACACACACACACACACAAACTGTACATGACACCCCCTGCCGCAGCTTATTGCCAGAAGTAATGCTGTCACAGGAGCCACAAGCCAAGTGGTCTGCACAAGTCATTTGGCTGGTGGATTTAGTTACACATTGGCCTCACAAACGCCTTCTTCAACAAACCTTCGCCCCAACATCTGTTTCAACAAGTTTCATAAGCACGTTGCACAAAGAGGGAGGAATAAGGGATTTCCCATAGTTTAAGTACAAGGCAAAGAAAAGGAAATAACAGCATGACAAAAACTGTTTCTGCTGTTTCTTGGTGTTAAAAATGGCCATGAAGAAAGAGTGGTGGAAAAGGCAGGAGTAGAAAGATGTGGCTTGCGTGTGTGTGTGTTGTGATGCAGAAGTGAATTATTGTAATGACAGATTCAATTATCTTTATAACTTTAAACTGTACCTAGCATTTGTTTGCACATGAATTGGACTCAGGAAAGTGAACATGGAGTAATTTTTGGGAGGTTTTTTTGTGGCCAGGTCTTGGTGTGTTGTCAAGGCAGTGACTCCAGTAAGAGACACACAAGCAAAGTGGTCCCATGAAGGGAAACACACAAGGAACACATTTTCAGGGTATTCCCAGACAGGAGTCAGGTGAAGCCAGAGGCCTTCATGGTCTGGAAGGTTCCCAGGAAAACCTTATGCCAAGGTGCTGGAAAAGAAACTCTGACCAGCTGTTGAATCTGATATTCTGCAGGAGCCGTGGTGGGCCTGTCTCGGTTGTGACTCAGAGGACCATCACTGAGGAATGAGAGTCTGTTGTGGTGAAAATGGAGAACATGGTTTCACCCACTTCTAATGGCGGTGAGACAGGGGTCAATGCAAATCAATACAGTCACAGAGAGTGGTTCGGTATAATAGTTTAATAGACAGAGATGAAACAGAGGGCTGATTCCATTTAAGATGGAAATTGAACTTTGTTTCCACAAATACAGAGTAAT